GGACCATAGTTCTATACTCAGTGCTCATGCCCCTATACCGTGCAAAAAACCATTTTCAAAAAGCGTCCCACGCCCTGAAAGACCTTCCTTGTGAAGCTCTTAGATCACGCGACAAGTCCTTGTGGATGTTTGCTGACACAGGATCAGGGAGAAGTTCTCCGCGACGCCGACAATTTCTGGATCGAGTAACAGGGTGAGAAGTTTCTCAACGACGCACAGAACACCATCGTGGAACTCGACTCACAGCTCATCCCGGATCACAACATACAGACCTCCTTCTTGTCAGTTTAATTAGGACACGACTACGGCTACAGGTCCTTTGGTTGTCACGGACTTGCAGCCAATTCAACTTCGACGTGCAGGGTTACCGAATTCGGCGGAGACACCACACATTATCACGATTTCTGGTACAGGCTTCGAGCAGCAGTCCACGACAATGATGCACTCTCGCTGACTGCCAAGATTATCTACTTGACGAACCCGCTCAAAGGAAGTGCTGCACTGATGATTCAAGCTTATGATCCATCCCAGCCCGGCAATTATCACTGACCCGTCGCAGCCCTTTGAAAAAGATGTGATCTCCAGCAGTACATTCACTTATCATCTATTCCATCATAAATTGAAGCAGCTCGAAGCGTCTTCGTCGTCAGCAACGAGTTAACGGGACAACTTATGCCAAAGTCAGTCGTTTTTTTCTGCAACTCTACCGCTACGAGGATACTACTACGTCGATAGCTCTCATGAAGTTGATTTAGAAGTTTTCGAAAGAAAGTCAGTAGAAGTGATTCAGATGGAACATCGATCGGATAAGACATGGACCTTACCCGGAGCTTCTCAATGGATTAGACGAAGTCATTGCAAATCCAGATCCCAACATCGGAGCCATTTTACTATCCAAAAAAGTGCTTCTTTGTTATTCGCGTAACCATCGTTCTACGCGCTGTCACCATTACATGCCTGCAGCAAGTCGTCGTGTTATCGCTAACGCTCTTCGACTATGTTGAGAGTGCCTTCGTTAGAGACACAGCAGTTCTTCCTGTTATCGTCACAAATGTTTTTGTTGTAGCGGCATTCATCATCACATGCTTTGTTCGCATTCAACTAGACGACGTTAACTATCTCCTTCGCAAAGAAGACATCACTTTTCTAACCGTCCGTGTTCTACTTCGAGAAGCTGGTCACGTAGTCACAGAGGGAGCCCATCTTATGATAGAAGATATTTGCGATCGTCGTCCCGTTGCAGTTCCTATTCACCGTGACGATTTTGCGATGGGAATCAATCCCTTCGTTCAAGAGGATTTCATAGGACTGTGCGCGCACAACACCATACGGTTCGATTGATTCGTTTTTTTTTCTACGTCGCAGCCAATGTAGCCGATGAATACGAGGATCTTATCCAACATTTCAAAGATCCGTCCGACACGCATGTTAGTTCCGCTCGGGACTATCCCACATTGTCTAGTCTTATAACAATTGAAGCACTTGCTATCGACCATCAAACAAAGACTTCAACTTCAGCAATTCTTCTGCTCGACACGGGTGCACAAAGATGCTTCATATCGTGAGATGCCGTCCCCGCCTTGACATCAAGTTTTCACGCATCATCCGCTCACTACCATGAAATTCGAAGCAGTACAGAGTCGTCGGGTACGGTGGATGTGGACCTTGTCGAAGACCAAGGGCGCAAAATGGGAGACGGGCAAAGAGAACGAATTTGTGTAACCGATTCGCTGCTTGCGGCTGTGTCGAATCATTCGCTTCGCCGTTATTATAGCTCTAGCGTTATTCATGAAGCTCAATCGATATCCGATTATTTTCTTAGGCATGGTTCTACTGCTAGTTGCTTGGTTCCTGTATTTCTTACCTGCTGCTGCGTTCTGCTACAGTCCTTTGCGCGCGGTGCCCCTCTCGCCGCGACGGGACAATTTCGATCCACCGCACCACGCTCCCCCGAAAATCTAACTTATCCTCCTGACAAAGGAGCATCTTACAATCCCATGCTCATCCACCGCCTCTACCGCAGAAGACAGNNNNCCCCCCCCCCCCCCCCCCCATTCTCATCCGATGGAGCCAATCCCGTCACCTGTTTCGACCATCTAGACGTCGCTGGTATTGCAGATGACCCTCTTCCCTTTTTCGCTCGAGAAGATTCCCGTATCTACAACAATACCAGGACACCGCATTATAAATTGATGGACACCTATATGTACAATTCCATGGAAGTCATCGCATCCTAGCGAACAATGATATTCTCGCACTCAAGCGACTCGAAAACCTGTAAGGTTTTACGTCACAAAGCTGGATGTTTGGGAAGTCTACGTTTCAACGATCGACGATTACCTGGACAAAGCGATTGTCGAGGAAGTCGACAACACCACTTCGACAATCAAAGAATCTACTACATCTCTCATCAGGGAGTGGTCGTCTACTACCACCAAGTTGAGAGTCGTCCTCAACGCTTCATCCCATTATGAAGGAACTCCTAGTCCCAACGAGTGCCTCCATACCGGTCCATCTACCCTCACCTACCTCGTTAGGATTCTTCCTCGATCCCGCCTCAAATCTATCCTCCTCACAGCTGATGTAGAGAAAGCCTTTCTTTAATTTCGTCCACATCTCAGTCAAAGAGATACCACACGATTCTTATGGTTGATGGGAATATCTCATACTGTTTTACAACCTCCAGACACACAGGAACATTCCCACAGAACTCATTATCCCGCATGTCCTCAATCCCATCGAGGACAGCCAACGATTTGTCGACATTCTAAACTAATACTTTATCACACAAGCGGACATCAAACTGCTTTGTGCCACCGCTTTAGCAAAGACAGCCGCGGCAACAGTCAACTTCAAAAAGATCAATTTCTCCATCGCACGTCTCCATGGTATTTCCACATCGCAGAAACCATTCGGCACATGAGTGCTTGAGAAATATCAGAAATCATGATGGGTCAAATTCGACTATTCGCGATCATTTGATGAAACTTGTTTCGATAGCCGCCTTGATGTTTGTATGACTAATAAGCTGAGCGAGTGCAACCTTTTCAACCACGGTGCGAGTACGCCTCACTGCTCTGAGTTGACGAAGATCAACCTTTCTACTAGTGTCAATGTGCGACTGTCGATGAATCTCGGCATTCTTCCTTCAGTTTGAAATTGACTCTTTGAGCTGTACAACCGAGATATTAACGAACTTTATTAGGCTGACGTTTCGGTGCCTTCACCTTCCACGGAGCCTGGAAAGACAAAAGGCACTTGAAAAACCATCCGATCAAGCACTATTTCAATCTACAAAGAAAGTTCAAAGGGCGTGGACTACAAAGAA